ATTTCATTTACCAAGATATTTACAAATTAACTATTATAATAAAGAAATTATTTATTAAAGTTGATATAAATTTTAAAAATCGAAAAGACCAGGAAATATTTAAATAATTTTTAGTTAATAAATTTAATTCGTTAAAAGTTTTAAATTTATTCAGTTTAAAATACAGACTTAAGAAAATAAGGAAGTAAAAACATAAATGTTCCACCAATAAAAGAAACTGTAATGGATCGCTGTCCAATCGAAAAATCATCGTGCGAATCGATGTACTGCCATTCGAAAGGCAGTATCATGTACAATTTCCAAACACGGGATTAACGTTAACAGAGCTTAATAATAATACTATGTGCAGCCTGTGTTCTCGTACATGTAGAATGCAGTTCATAAAGGGGGGAAAAAACGAAGACCGGTTTGTCTAGGGAGTAAAATTACCTTATGACTTTCACGCGAATTTATCATGGACGTATTTCAACGGGAACAACGCTATTCGTGATCAATTAGAACGTTTTATGATTCGTTCGTTCATATTGAACTTTATTGTTTCTCCAACAATGTAAAGTAATTATTTTCTTGCTCTTTTTACATTTGAATTGCAATCTCAATTTTTTTAACAATTTTTCAATATTAAAAGATATGAGAAATATATAACTCTGAGTCTGTGCTCATATTTTATCTGCTTTAATATGTACTGAAAATGTTGAACGTTTGGCATACTTTTCTTTAGACAATTTGTTGAAAATGAGTATTTGTAAACAGGAATAATTAGAAAACTTTTTGTAAAATAAAAATAGAGAAAACTTAAGGGCCATGGTATTTTTTGATAACAGTATTTTCTATTAATTGTGGCTTCCTTAATTGTCTACCTTCCGCATTATACTCTCTGCATCCTCGACTAATGATGCTTGGAAAACTCCTGAGAATCTTCCTTACTATTGTAAAAGAGTGCCGGAAACTGGTGACACTATCTACCTGCTTTCTTTAACTATTTTCTTCTCTATACGACCTTTAAAATGTGAATGATACAACTTCACATATTTAAATTTATTGGTGGTGATGATATTTATTGATTTAAAATTGTTAGAACTTCTGGTAATTGGCTCAATTGCTTCAGTTCAATTCAATTCTCTCTAAAGTTTTACTAAATTGCAGTTTTATGGATGTTCAAATATATTTAAATACTCAAAATTTCAATTAATTTAGATTTCAAATATATTGGAATATTTTACATTTACCTAAAAAATCCTACGATCCTTGTCATAAAATTATTAAAGCCATTCACAGAACGTTCCTTTCCTCCATCCATACACATATGTATATACCTGCATGCAACAACTTTGTTTCCTAACCTCACCGGTTAGCAGTTTACGCCCTTCGATTGCGATAAATGAAATTTTGCATAGAAAAGGGACTGGCCGACTGCGATGAAAGGAAGGAAAAAGAAAACGACGTGTTCAAGAATCGTCACGGGACGTGGTTAGGGTGATTCGAGTACACGGCCATAGGAAGTAGGATGGTCGCCGGAAACTCTCCCCTGAAACAAATGCAAACTTGTCTGTACATGTACTATATATGTATATACATATGTATGTATATGGTGGGGCTTCTAAAGATACTGTTCGTTTGCACTCTCCCGTTTCCTACGCTCTCTGTCCGGTGAAAAGAGCGTAACAGTTTACAAGTGGCAGCCAGCACTTAACCACGCTACAGAGCGGGACAAGAAACTGGCGACGCGTGCGTGATACGCCGATCGCGGATTAAAGTGGAACGCCGAGCGTTTTATCTCGTTCTATTACGAGTTCTTACTATTGCAAACTCCAATAAATTCGTGTCCCGTGTATTCATTTTCGTCCTTACTATTACCGGTATTTTTGTTCATACGTGATTGAGGTTATGATCAATCTTAATAGTTTCGTGACTTACAAGTGATTTAGAATTAAGTGGACAGATGGAATCATTTGAAATGTAAATTAGTTTGGCATGAAATTACTAATCAGTGTTACGATTATACTGCTGTACAGTTTATCTGAAACATATTGTGATTTATAAACTTGAAAGAGGCACGAGTGAGAAGAAAGAGGGAATTAATTGTAGTGTAAAGTGATTTAATGTGAAATTGTTTATTAACCCACTTGTTACTGCTTCTATTACTCTTGTTCACTTATGATTCATAATCTCGTTGCGCGTTGATATTATCATATTGTATGTGTTTCAAATAGTTGCAGATGAAGTAAATAGATTGGATTGTTTAACACGCAAAGTAATTTTATGTAAAATCCTTTATCATTGTTTATTCGTAACTTTTACTTCTTTTAAAATGTCCTTTCTGAATAGTGATACAAATAGAGAGATCTAGTAAATGTTCAATTCTTTTAAGATCACTTGATTTATCCAGTCAAATGACAACAGCTTCTTTTCCTGAAAAAAATCATCTTAGTACTCATTGCTGAACGTAAGTCTCAGTCTTACTTATCCGTAATTTCTTTTAAGAGACGATATAGATGACTGGGTAATTTTATGAAATAGCATAATAAATCTTCATGCAACTTCACAGTCGACTATAGTGGAAGGATAGAATCGTTTGAAATATAAAATGATCTTCATAAAGTAATCAGCGAATGAATCCTGATAGGTTACTGGACGCTGCTAGAAATTGTAGATATTTCATTTGAAATCAATTTTCCACAGAGCAGAGACGGTGAAAGTCGCGAGCGTGAATGCACGTAATTGGTCTCTTGTATCCTATGTTTGGCGTTCTGTGCAAGTATTTCGTACAGTTTCTCATGAATTCTTGGATAACGAAATTTCTACCGGTCAGAAATGGACTGGCTTTGAGCGGGCGGGGATCAAATCTCTCACGAGTTTACATTCTGTAACTATGGGAAAGTTTCGTGAACCGTTGGAGATTTGAGATATTGGAATCGACTGTTCGATCAAACATTAAAGGTATTTGGATATTTTGAGCGACATTCAAAAGGTACCAACATTGTTTGGTAACAGTCTCATACTTTAAACACTGTACGAGATCTTTAAGCATTATTTAATACTATAAACGTTGTTTAAGTATTACTTCAGTATTTTTTGTTCTTCTTCTCGGAATTATTTCTTAATAGAGTTTAATTATCCTGAAAATTATTTGAGTACATAATTTGCAACGAATATTTCAATTATATAAAAAAATCATCTTGAATAAGTCTTATGTAATAAGCAAACGCATGCTGTACCTTATTTTAAAAAAGTGAAAAAAGCGCAGTATTTTTGTTTTTAAAATTTCGTTATTACAAATACAGGATCCATAATCAGAAAAGATTCATCAGAACTATGCCAGAAAACATCAAAAGGAAGCTCGTAACCCCTTCTCTAAATTGATTCGTACAATCGTTCTTCGCCGTTCTTTCATATTACCATACTTAACCTAAAAATGAACATAAAGTAAATTTCGTTATAAACACAATTTGTATCTGATTCCCTTGGTACTGAAACCATACTATGGCAATGCGCATAATCGTGTCAATATTGGCCAACTCCATTGGCAAAAAGATAAAACATGAAGAGTAAACGAAAAAAAAGGGAAAGAAAAACGTTCTCACGCGATAATCGTCGAAGCTCCCGCTTTTGTGATACTGTTACGTGCAGTCAGACCGTACCAAGGGGTGGGGGGAGGAGGAGAGAGATGCAACGAAAGGAAAGTGATACGGGAGCCGTGCTCTATTCTCCGACATTGCGGTTCGTGGAGGAAGTGCACGCGTTTCACCTGCTGATCCCGTCGCTTCGGACCATAGTGTTTTCAGTCGCGTGCCAGAACGGGGATGAGGCAAAAACCACGCGGAACAACGTCGACTACTCCGCGGTGATTCGCTGCTCTTTGAACGCGATTTAGTTGATTATACATGAAACGTATCAGTCCAGTACTAAAATAAATTTATCGGCAGATGGTAAAACTAGGAATGGGATAAAATTTGATGTTACCTTCTTTTAACGATTTCAGTTATTAATGCCGGATGTTTCAGTTGACGATCGACAAACGAATCGAATTTTAGATGGACTTTCTGTGAATCTGAATTTTAATCGAAGAAAATCGAGCAATTCATTGTTCCTGATTTTAGTTGTATATGGACTAAGAGGGATTTTGTAGTTCGAAGTTGTCTGTGATTTTTATGAGCAGATTTGATAGACATATGTATGTTACGAAGCAATGATTTTCTGAAATGGATTCCAATCTTTATATCTAGTCGAATGAAATGTTTAAATTCATTCAATGACTACACTATACATAAACGTCACTGGATGTGTTTTATATCATTATAGAAGCATATTAAATTCCTAAATTAGATATAGGATTATGATACTTATTATAATTCAGTCTAATTTTGTTTATACAAATTTAGGAAACATGAGGATTTCACAAATATCCTTCACGCAAATATTGCTTTAATGTTGAAGAATACATGTTAATATATGCAATTCAACCTGAAATAGTTAATGAAAGTATTAGTGAATATATAAATATTATATTAAATATTAGTGAAGTTTGTTAATGATATATCACTGATTCAGTGAACTCTTTAAATAGTGTACCTTTGTACAAACAAATTTTCAAGTTCAAGTCTTTGAAAAATTACTTATTTCCTCTCACTCACTCTTTCTAAACGACCCAGAACTATTACGCTCAATTTTTCTCATATGGACCACTGTTACCAGCAAATAATTCAGCCACTTCAGACTTCCTTTGGATTAAGGGAAATATTTCATCATCTCAATAGTCAGAATTATTCTTCTACAACTGACAAAAAGCAGCCAGTGAGCGGATATCCTCTGAGATAGCAACCAATGACCACTATACTTAGAATTTCTTGTTTCCGGTCACAAACCACGCTCTTGGATCATCATTAAACTTTTCCTCGACTAAACGATTAACAAAAACTTCCTACAAGATGCGCTCATGCGAAAGCATTGAATGACATGCCATCAACAAAACGGAGGTTATGCAATGAGAAGGATTGCAGGTGTGTGATATGCCGTGAATTAACCAACTGCAAAATGCCGGGTAACCTAAAAGCTCCACCTCGCCGCGAAGGCGCGAACTTTATCCTACGTCGCGCCTTGCATTTCACGAACAAATCTCCGTCCAAAGAATGGATAAATACGAGTAATGACGTGCTTCGGTCAGCGCGTGATCACGGAGATGGCGCTGCGGTAGACGATATTAGTTACAGGCCGGAAGTAGAGGGTCACACAGTGACGCCAATGGCCGGCGGGAATATTAGAAAAGCCGATAAAGACGTGGCTCATAAAACTGTGATATATTTCGGTGACACTAATCAGAGGCAGAATAACAGGCTCAATTACAAAGAAGCTTCTTCTCAGCTTACAACTAAAGACGAGTCGAAGATGATAGATTTGAAAAGGGAAGAAAAATTTGATGAATCAGAGGATGGAAGATGTGGTGAAAAAGGGCAAAATGAGAGGCAACGGTCAACGGTGGGCTTGGTAGAGAACGAGGACGTCAAGGTCACGCACGAAATCGTGGTGAACGTCAGCCCCAGTAGAGAGGACGTGCTGAGGATCGAGGAGGACGAGAGCCAGGTCGAGGATTATTGGTCCTTGCCGGGGGACAACAGCGGGTTCAAGGCAGACTGGAGCTTCGTTCAACAGTGGCGCCTGAGGGGGTAAATTAAGCGAGTGTTGCGTTTACCGTGACGATGAAAAATGAGCGTGTATCGTGGGGCCCGCGCATGGAATTCGCGTAACCACGCGGTGGTTCGGTCTTCGCGGTGCTTAACGGTTTTTGCGCAAACGTATAAGAGATTGCGGGAAATGGATTGTAAAGTTTGATGGACGACGCGTGGTTGGTGTGTCAGATATGGTCCATTGGATAAAATTTGAATTATTAAATGAATAACAATAGATATTTTTGTATGTTAATGTTGATATTTAATAGATGGTTATGGAGAATTTGAATTATTAAATTAATAATAATAGGCAGTTATTATTAGAACTTCGAGTGAATATTTGAGTTACATTTAGGAAATGATGCCTAGAAGATTTTGAAATAGGCTTTATTTATAGATTACAACTATAATCTGATAATGGGGGCAGTACTAATATAATAAATAATGTATATAGAATTTTATATGTAAAAATAATAAAACACGTAGAATAAGATACATTAATACAAAAATTGGTTTAGAGAAAATTGGACAAAAAAATTTTATATATATATGTTCTTTTAGTCCTAATGAGGTTAGTATCACAGCTCATTTTTAATATAAGTGGGCTGTATAAATAAATTAGATATTCCTGAATAAATAAACGATTATTCAAAATAGCGATGATTTAAAATTCCAAAAATGATTCACAATTCAAATTCAAAACAAATCTAAATTTCTATAAGTTATTTATCACAATTTTATGCTCGGATCGGATGCTTGATTCTAAAAGCGTAAATTTCACTAGACATAATTGGGTAAACTTCAGTGAATTAAATGTTTATAAGTAGCTATACACCTTGGTTCGACTATCTGTAATTGCATTAATGGCGCATTTCCACTGGGCGCAATAAGCCGCACGGAAGACGCGTATGCAGTGCAGTTCAAGTGAAAAGCAGGTGCGTTCTAGGGCTTGCACGTACAACGAATATTAATTTATATGGAGTGAGTCACGCGATTCAATCATATGGCTCTCGTCACTTCTGATGACAGAAAAAGTCGCTAAAGAAATTGAATTGTTTTAACTACACTCACTATATACGCAAATTCATTTTCTACATGGAATGTTTATTCTGTAGCCTTCTTTGCTTTAATGGTGGTATATCATGGGCAGTGGTGTAATTTAAACGTTAAATAAGTATAATTTTGATCAAATATTTTACCTTAGAATGGTGGACTAGTTTGCTTGATGATGAGTATTAGAAGAGAAGAAAAAGAACATTAAATCTGTAGATGGAAGCTTACTGTTATTATATGACTCAAGCTTTTCTTTTCTTCTATGTTTTGGCATTATCAGTTGTAAAAAGTATATAGTTTAGTGAAGACTGTCTAGTTAATATTACCGGTTTTGAGGAGTAGGGTTTATTTACATCACTCACCTATAATATCAAGAAAGATGAGAGTTAATTTGGAGGAAAATAGTTATTAGAATAAATCAAAGTTTGAAACTTTCTTAACAAGAACATTAACCTTTTATATCAATTAGTATCTGTGAAATTATTACTTATAAAAAGTACAAAAGTACATAGTGATGTTCCTTTTTGTGATATCAAAATTTGTGTATTAATGTATAGATATGTAATACAATATAATATATTTCACAAGAATACTAATCATAATAACGTGTAAGCAGGTGAAAAACAAAATGGGGAATATTTTTAAAAATGAGAAATTTGTATGTGTTGCAAACAAACCTTCAATACAAAATTATATGCCCAAGTTATTTTCAAAGCTGCACAAATTTCATAATAAATCTTAACAATCAATTTTCATTCCTTGCACCATTAACCCTTTATAAACGTCGATTTAAAGGTGAAAACTAGCCAAAGTTGATTTGTCTTCTTTCTCCTATATCACAGCTACATCAACATTATTCATCTAACAATGTATATAATTTCTTAGAAAATTTTCATTAATCAAATTGCTTTTATTTAATCCATTAACCTTTTATCCACCTGGCTCTTCAGCAAAAGCCAAGAATTTAACCTTTTCCAACAATTTCAATTCCAACGTCAAACCATGCATGTAGGATAAAAATGCGCAAGCTCCGATGCATCGCTTACGCAAAAACCGGCTCTTACGATTAATTACAGGCTCAAGAACATCGCCAAGCAGATGACCGTAGATTTTTGGAACGCGATACTTTTCTCTGGGTCCAACACGATCCGAATTTATTTCCATGCTTGGTCGTTTACTCGTGGAGAAAGAATTCGAAGCTCGCGAACGCCCTGTGTGACAAACAATTGCAGAAAACAAAGAAAACAGAATCGAGATGCATGAAAACATATAGATCATGATCTATCCTCCACCATACTTATCCATTACGTGAATCTCTCGTTGGTTTTGTACAGCGGATAACACTTAATTTGTACACTGAAATCACGTTGGTTGTGTCCAATTATAGGTTATGTAACACTGGGGAGATATAGATTTATATCGACTGCTATTATCGACCGCGCAACCTCGCGAACTAATTCTCGTGAATAGAGGGCGCTTTTAACAAATCGATCAAATAAATGGAAATAAAGTTTATATATAAACAAGCTTTTAAAATTATCGATTGTGCTGATTTATGCCCTTATTGGTACATTACACAAAAATAACCAAAGTCCACAATGAATGTAAAATATAAATTATATAATTAAAATTTTACATGTATATTATAAACAATTGGAAAGACGAATATGAATGAAAGATAAAATGATGTAAAGTACAGATACAGTAAGTATAATGTAAGAGTTACCGTACAAATAGTATAAATAAAAATACAACAAATTTGAATAATATATTGGTTAGATATAAAGCAAATGTTATTATATGTAAAAATTTCAGAATATTACAACATTTTAAATGATATGTACTCAAAAGAAATTCTATGTCAATTTCAACAAATATGTCAATGAAATATATTAAAAAATTTATTTATGTACCTAAAATGTATTTGGATCACGCTTGATATTTCACACTATATTGATATCTTGTATTATAACTCTTCCCTTATTTACTTAGTAGTTAAAAGATTTTTGCTTTTCCGTAATACATAATATTCTGGTTTTGCATTTGGAAGTATTTTTATTCTAAAATTATTTACACACGCTTTTCTAGGATGTGATAGGAAAGAATAATCACAGAATCGCTAAAATTATTTGAACAATTAACGGAAAATAAACATTTTTCTAGCGGGGCCCCAAATACGTTCTACTCGCGCAATTAATAGATAATAATTGTGCATTTTAAGTATATCTATTTAATCATATAATTACTTTTTACTTTTTTTTATCTATTAAGTTATCTTATATGTAATGCGGTTTGACCGTAAAATAATAGTTACGTACAACAAACTCAATAGAAATTATACCTAACAATTATAGAATATAAGGAAAAATACATCATCAAACAACTAATAACAAATAAGTATTTCTTTTCAATTAATATTTCTATTAAAGGAACTGCATTGTTTATAGGATGATATGATACTTAAATTATTTCATTTTTAATTTTTCTTTAAGAAGAAAGGTTCATTTTTTCTAAAAAAAAGGGAATAATTTTAATGAAAACAAGATTTTTCCTTCAAAGATTGTAAATGGTCTAAAAATGTTTGCTTAATTCCACAGAATGTCATACAAAAATTATTCATATTTTTTAGAATTAGATGTTTAAATATAAATTATTAAAAGTATTTAAATTTTATAAAATTATCTTTTTTAGACCGGCTGGTGGCAGTGGGCGTGAATTGTATTGTCCTCCATACTCAAAAGACTTCACGGAAAGTTCGCCCAAAAACGGTGTTCACAATATGGTTCACATGGTAGCGGAAAGGGATACGGATAGCGTTGCACCAACGCCAACGCCTCAACATCCCCATCATTCTCAACACCATCATCTTAGTTTACATGAAATTCGTGCACTTCAGGTATATAAAAATTCCTTTTTATTTTACTTTCTATACTTTTTATAATTTTAATATTTTTCAGCGTATAAATGCTTATCATAAGACATTGAAAATGGTAGATGTGGATATCTATAAATATTCTTATTCGTGTATTAAAAGCTCACGTTATACATTAAAACAGAAGAACATCATTCAATCATCTTATCCTAGAAACTAATGTTAATTAAACTTGAATATGATGATAAAATTCAACGTTCGACTTTCAGTTTCAATATTTCGATCATTATACGGTTCTAAAGATACCACAATACTCCAACAATCTAGTCTTCTTCATCATCCATCACCATTTAGAAATACATTACTATGATGTTCAAAAGTAAATGATATAAAGTACGAATATCTTTTGTAGAGGCGACCAGAATGTACCGGTAATAGTTCATCAGATGAGAATCGATCGTCCGGACACGCAAGCATGTCAGACACAGGTGGGCATACGAGTAGTAGTTCACCACCGCATCGTCACCATAGGGCACACAGTCCACAGCAACTAAACTCTGTACCAGAAGACGATCGTTTATCGGCCTCAGTTACCCAGAGAAATGGCAGGAATAGATCTGGACAGAACCGTAACAGACATAGAGCTACACCTGCTAAGGTGTGCTTTTAATAATAATACTCAATGCAGGACTTCACGTTTTGTTTCTTTTAATATGTTGCTTAGTAATTCTATATAGTTGAGAATGTTTTATTCTATCACTATATTAATAAATTAAGAGTTGTATTTATGGGGTAAATTGTTATAATTTGTTAAAAGCCAATATCTTGGTAAAAGGGAAATATATATAATTTCTTTGCATTCATTTCAAGATAAGGTAACACGTATACTTCTTTTTCATTGGTTTTTAAATGGTATGTATTTTCTTAATTTCAGATCATTCTTCATTTTAAGAATTTATGAATTTCGATAAAGATTTCAAAGAGTGTTGACTCCATTTCTCAATTATTACAATCTGATTTGTAAGTGAATATTTAAATAAAGAATATTTTAAAGTCCCGTAATATATACTTTTTTATGCATATCACTATTTTTTTATGGGACCCAAGAAATCTGAATTTAAATAATCTATTCTTTCATGCCACTAAACAAACATCAAGAAGTTTTCCAGTATCTTCACTTCTTGCTGCAACAGAAATTTCTAACAAATTATATACAATTTACAACTTTATATTTCCGAATACTATCAACTACTTTTAACTTCTTTATCAAATAACTTTATTGTAGTTACAGGTCCCTTGGTCAGGTTCTGGTCTAGAAGATATCAAACTAGCAATCCAGCAGCTCACCATGCGTTCCCATAAATCATCTTCCACCTATTCTTCCTTGAGCGGCTCCGAGAGCTCAGAACCAGCTGTAAGGAGGCTGATGAGACACTCTAGTTTAGAAACCATAAATACCAATGTAACCAGTGCTGATGAGTTCGTCTGGGTAGACTCTCACAACCGACTAGTAGAGTTACAGCAATTACCATGGACGCACCACGACGTCCTTCGTGTGTTGCAAAATGGTCGCACTAGGGAGCACATGGAGCAGGTCTCTATGGAGACGATACCACGTCTCTCTTACCTGCTGCAGCGAGCTCTAGTCAGAATCGGTCGAGAAACACAGAGACTTGCTAAACCTGTTGGTCTATGCAGTAAGCACGAAGTGTACAGTGCGTTCAAAATCGTGCTCTGCCCGGCCTTGGCAGACTCTTGCACCAAGGTATGTGGAATAGAGCACGAGATTTTGTTGATGTGATCAGTAATCTATTACTTGGTAAATACAAATAAATTAATCATTTTCATTGCTAATAATCTTAACATAATAATTTATTTACATAGGTGTCGTTATTTCTTAATACACTCTTACTAAAGATAAAGAAGCACATTATATCCCATTTACATTCTTAAGGACTATGATTGATCTAAATATCAGTCTGTCTTTATAAATTTGTAACTTAGTAGCTAAAGGAGTTCTTGATTAAGAAACGATGTAAATAACTAGTTAATATAATATAATGGCGTTCACAAGTTTTGACTACTGAAGACCATTGAAAAATCATAATTTTATGTGTCGAGACGTGAAAGATTTCTCTTACTTTATTATAACTCTCAATATAGACAAAATTGACTGAGATAAGTGCTCGAATCGGAGCTTAAAAGGTCCGAAAGATCAATCATTGACTAATTTCTTTATGTTTTTGTTTTAAACATGTCTTACTTTTAGTGGAAATTATTTAAAAGGTAATTACATGATAATATAAAAATAAATAATGACATAAAGATTGTTATGTCTTAATAATTAATTCTATGATAATTTTATATATAAAATTCTAGTTTACAGTGAATATATTATATATATAATAACATTATACATGTATAACAATATTATTCGAGGAATGTAATCAGTCGATAAAACAGAATGATATATACTAGGCAAGGATTTATCATCTTAGACTCATGTTCTAGATCCTAAGAATATAACAGAGGGAGTTATTCTTTAATGACTTTGAACGACAAACAAATTTCAAACTATTGCTATTAGAAATGTGTACTTAAAATATATTGATCGTTAATAATGATTTAATACAAACATTTGTCGACTTATTTTCTTTTTATAGGCGTGCTTGCGTGCTGCAGCGATGTTCGCCGTATCTGGCGATCAGCTAAAGCAATCGAAAGCATCTCGATCCGGACTACAACTACCAGTGGGGCGATTTCTTCGCTGGATGTCTGATGTACGGCTAGGAAGAATGATACACGAGTATGCAGCCATATATTTGACCGCTGGAATCGAAAATCTGTTGGAAGAAATATTATTACAGTGTATACCAACTGATTCGCATACAACGTTGACTGCAACCATGTTGGAACATGCTATCGCAAATAGTGGAGATTTATGGGGTCTTCTTCAACCATACGCGCATCTGAATGCTGGTCGAACAGCGTCAGGTAAAATTATTTTGAGTTAGAAATTATGTCACATGAGCGATCATTGTTCAAAGGAAATATTCATATTTACCATAGGTTCACTCAAATTGTTCTATTAACCATCTAAGCGAATTTCCAATTTTTTACAAGCTATACATAAAATAAAATAATATTCAAAAAGTAAAAATAACTAAATATTACAACAATTTGTTTTATTCGTGTATTTTTAATCCACAATTTTTAAATATATATTAATAAGATATCTGATATTTTGCAATTATTAAATTTTTGTAAATTTGTTTCAATATTATTAGTGACACGAAAATTATTTGTAGATTGGCTAATTCTTGTTTATGATGTGGATTAATTCAATGATTATAACATATAACAGTACAGTGTTACAAAATTTAAGATATTAATAATAGATAATAATAATCAATAATATTAAATTTAATATTGAGAAAGTCATTAGACAATGAACATATTGCTAGTACTGCATTTGTACTTTTGTTATAATAAATATTCTAATTTAAAGAAAATATTAAAGCACAATCATCTCCAGGAAAATATCTGCTTTTGAAACAAATAATAAGTAAAATATAATGTAAATGCAGAAAGAATAAATTAACGGGACAATCAAATGGTATTATGTAGGGATTTACGACCAATTTAGTCGAAACATTGGATAACTCTATCATTTCTGAAAAATTCTTGGGTTTATAATAAATCCTTACCCTATTGTAAATAGAAATAACGAAATTGTTAAATTTCTGAGCAATAAACCCTTATACCTAGGACGCGGTTATACTTCCTTTCACTAGAAACATTCAATAAAATTAAATTACTTAAACTTAATCCTGAATACCTGTGTGTCACATGGATACCATTCCTATATCCTATCTTGAACTTTCTACTTAGGCTATTATAATATTGTCCTTTCTACGGTTTAAATTATGTAATCACGACGATAATCCATTAAAACAAAAATTTGTGCTTTATTGAATAGTACGCTTTCATGATGTTAACATTCATATGATCATAACATTATTTATGATGTTTGTAGGTGCACTTGCTATGCCTCGTTGGGCCAGTGTCAGTTCTCTGAATTCCTCCTCGTCATCCCGTAGCGGGAGAGATGCAGCGGGGTCCGCATTAGAACCTTCGCTCCTAACTACCTGCGTAGGGTCAATGTCGGAACTAATAGATCTAATCTCGAAAGTAGCCCAAGCAGGACGTTCAACTATACCTTTGACAACCAAGGCATTGAATGCTCTCTTTTATTACATGAGGTGTTCGCAGGTTTGCTCATTTCATTTTTACCTTAACACCTTTATTGTCTTTATTTCTTTTATATAAACTGACGAAACTATATTTGTACAGTTAGAGCACGGTGAACGAGGTTCTGGAATACAAGAGCTTGCATACGAACGAGCGTATGTTGTACTTCCACCATTAGTCGAATGGCTCAGAGTTGCAACTGCTCATGCAGAACACAGGCACGGACTAGTCGTAGATCAAGATGACATTAATCAAGCTGCAAGATTGCTATTGCCTGGCGTAGATTGTCCCGTCAGGCCGATATGGTAACAGATATTAGAATTTGCAGATAGAAAAAGCTAGGATATCCTATAAGGAAATGTATCAAGGTGTAATGTTCACTTTTTAGTGAGATTTTAGACGGTCATAAAAAGACACATATCAAACAAAATTCAACTATACCGGAGATAAATTTTTTCTACTAGATTGTCTTTTTTATCGTTAGCTAACATAAACATTGATGATTATGAGCTTCTTTCAATGTTTGTATATATTTTTTATGTTTGTACATGTAATCTGCACTCAGATAATGTCAGTAATATTGAATTAAACATACTTAAGATTAATCAAAATCAATCTATTACTATTTTTTAATCATCATGTCTCATGAAATAAAAAAAAAGAGTAGATCATTTAAAAATCTTACCACTTTAATATGTACACATAAAAATAATCTAAAACAAAAATTACATAGTTCTGTTTTGCCTTATAAACTTTTGAATTTTTATTTTCTACTTTTATATATTCGTCTGTTATTTTCTACGTTTCAAACAATTTTTATTTAACTTCTTTCACAGCTTCGAGGAAGTTTCAGTATGCTCGAAACGTATTGATGACTCCGAATACGTTCGCCTTTTAACTATGGACATGGCTTTCAAGATGTTAACAAGTGGGCGTGCAGATTTAATAGCTCAAGCTATGTCTCTTTTACCGTCAACAAAAATCAACACTGTGAACGATAATGGCTTTACCGCTTTAATGGTAGCGTGTATAAATAGCGATGAAACCGCTGTTCTAGCATTATTAGATGCTGGTGCCGATTTGAATATCGAAAGTCCACCTCCACCCACTGGGCAATCAGCAAATACACCTTCTAAAATCCCAGTGACACCGAATGTATCAAATGTTAGAAGTCCAATCGTGCCATCCGTTATGACACCGGGAAAAAATGTGCAGTCTCCAAATTCATCTTCCAGTTCGCCATGCGCATCTAGTAACGTTTCTAACAGCACATGTTGTAACCAAACTGGATTCAATGCAGAAACACAACATTGGACTGCTTTAACTTATACAGCTTTATTAGGACATTGCAATATTGCTAGAATATTGTTAGAACGGGGTGCAGCCGTTGAAGGTGGTGCTAAACTAAGCGAAGATAAATCCACAGTTACACCATTACAAGCAGCTACGGCATCTGGCAATTATGAAATGGTAGCACTGCTTTTGGCTCATGGTGCTCAACCTTTCTTATCAACTTTGATAAAGGATTCATTTTCGTATTCTGGTTCTGCTCAGCGTGGTTGTTATAGGCGAGTAAAGTATATCTACTTATTCTAATTAAAATCTTATTTCTAAAATCAGTATTTTAAAATTATAGCAAATATTCAAATAATTTGATGATAACAGTTAAATGATACGATATGTGATACAATGTATTTTCAATTCATGTATACAAAATAAGAATTATTTTAATATGTAACACAATACAATGTAACTAATTTGTATTCTTATCTTACAGTGCAATATCAGTGGCAACAGCTCATGGTCAAAAGAGTTGCCTTCATCAATTACTGTCACATCCATTAAACTTTTCCGCTAAACGAGGAGAAAAGGAAGTATTATCATTAGAGGAAATTTTAGCAGAAGGTAGTGCTGGAACTAGTCCACAACAACAGACTGTAGATGGAAGAGGGAATAGAAGAGAAGGGAAA